GACAGAGACTATTTTCTTCGGAGGTATCCTTCCAGTAAAGAATTTGAAACAGCATTGTCCAGGAGACATTTCAAACACTCCTTGAGCTGAAAGAAAAAAATAAAAAGACAGTAAAAAATTCAGTTTCATAGCAGCATGTGTCAAAGGTGTTGAGCACTCAGCCTGGAACTCAGTCTTTAAATAGAAAGGCAATGACATTAACACTGTCAGAGCGCTCAGGTCACAAAACTGTGTGCTGGGAGCTTCATGGCATTGCTCTCCATGGATGAGCTATATGTGTAATTTGTTAGTGACCCAGTAGTGTTGTACATATAATATATATATATGCTTTCTTTAGAACAAAAATAAAGTCTTTCTTCCTCTGATTATTATCTTTCGACCTGTTGTTCAGGTCAAACTGTCACTTCGTTTCTAAAAATGCCACAGCTTATTTTTTTTATCTGGATCAAACGGTCATAAAGTAAACACATACATAACCTCACGTCATGTATGTGATAAAAGCAAAAGTTTGTCTTCGTAACATTTTAACGTGTTTTGTCATCAAACTCAAAACATTTGAAAATGAATTTTTAAAATAACTCATCGCCCTTTTGAAGTTTTGTAATAACCTCACCCACGTAATGTGAAGTTCATTCACAATAAACAGTAAAAGTTTTTAACTTGTAACTCATTTAAGTTATGACGATTACTAATAAAATCAGATAAAAATCTAATAAAAACATTCAAGAGGGCATTTATCCCCAGTTAAAAGCAGACTGACTGACTTACGTCCAGCAGCGCAGCAATAAACCGTGAGCAGCAGAAGCAGCAGTCCCACTGTGGCCTTCATGTTGACTTCACTCTGGATGTGATGATGTCCTTCGGCTGTCGCTCTAGAAAGTTAACTGAATACTTAATGCTTTGTCACACTGATACAAAGGGCAGTCTTAACAGATCTATTATAGTGAGTTCCCTTTTTGGGTAAAAGGAAGTGTAAGAGACACACCACCACTTAAACATGTAGATTAAAGATCACTCACCAAGCAACACCTCTGCAGCTTCTCCACATCGATTATGGAAACAGATAACATCATGTTCCATCTATTCAAGTCAGCTGAGAACGATGACCACATTTTTAATTTTTTTAATGAAAGTAATTTTGTTTGAGAAGACATGCGTAACAGCATAATGTCTGTTTATTCCTGCCGTATGATTCTTTATAATCCCCCAAAGCTGATTCTGTTCATCTGGACATAGCGTCTTCAGTGCAAGAAACATTTTGTCGCTTATTCAATTACTTGTTTAGTCTCAGCTCGACTGCAGGGTTCCCCAACCTTATAACCAGTACATTTGCATAATGACTGAAACTAGCACCACTGACTAATAATGGGCCGTGAGGTCAGTTTCATGATCATTAATATGCCAGCTATCATGACCTCCTTTATAATGTTTGTGTGACAAAGTGGGTGAGAACATCTTTTGTTCAGAGTTAAAAGCTGGATATTCTTAGTTAACATTCTTGTTTTGATTTAGCCATATCTCATATGTATTCTGTAGTAGGCAAACGTGTACTATCCCGGGTTTGTTTATGTTTCGCACTGTTACAGATTATTTAATGTAACATCTTGGTTTAAATCAACTCGGACAAGTTTGTTAATTGTCTAGTTTGAACTCACCTAACCTACCCGTGTGCCAGGAACAATAGGAGGAAATGTAGTTTCAATTCCCCGTATTTATAGCGTCCAGATTAGTCTGAGATCACAGGAAGCGACCAGGTCAAGAAGGGGGAGAATTCTTGTAATTTATTTGGATTTTGTTTTGGATTTATTGTTGTGATATGTATTGACTACACCTTAGTTTTTATAGCTAATAAAGAGTAGCATTATACGTTTATGAGAATGGTAACATTTGTCTTACCTACTGCATGGAATAGTTCAGAGGAGAAATTGTTTGGATAGCAGAAGAACTCTGGTGTTAGTGGGAGAAAGGACCAGGTCAGTATAGCTGTGTGCATGTGACCATAATTTCTGCTGATTTAAGTTCAGTTATGTTTATTTTTACTGAGTTAACTATGAAGTTGACTTTCTTATTTATTTTTGTAAATATTGTTTGGTCACAAAAATGGTGAATACATCACTCGCTACACTGGACAGCACGGTTACTACTTATTCTCCAGCCAAATGACTCTGCAGTAGTGGGCACCCGCTACAATCAGCAATGACAGTAACTCGTCACTCGGATGGTCACAGGTTGCATATGTGCACACATATATGCATTCAGTGAACACAGTTATACACACTGTACTGAGTTGGACCATATTTATTGTGTCACGTTTTTCATTGTATAGATTCAAAAAGGTGCTGAAAACATTTGGAGAGATTTTTTTTTATCCATGTTGACATGATAACATCACACACTTCCTGCAGATTTATTGATATTATTTATTAATTTGAATCTTCTGCTCCAGCTGTCGTGGAACTTTGTAAATAAAGTCTGCAACACAGTAGGAGCTGTGATCAAGCTATTTATTACTGCACGCAGGAGGTCACACACACACACACATCAAAACATAACAGGTTCATAGCAATGAGTGTTCTAACCTTGCAGCGCCCCTTTTATAACACCGCACAAACTCCGTGTATCTTTTCAGTTACAACAGTCTTTCAGCTGTTGCTGAACAGAGAAGACTCCCACTATCCTTTCCCAGCTTACATCCCTCTGAGCAAAACAGTTAGCAGATAACATAGTAAAACATCATTAGGCCTAGCTAAGCAGTTTTCACAAGGTCATGCTGGCACATACTTGCTTCATCTTAAGCAGGCAGATATACAAAAATCATACAGTAAGATCCTAAACACATAAATCTAAATGTGAGGATAAATTAGAATTTTTCCGTAACACAACAAATCTCAAAAGTCAGCTATTGGACATCTACTCTCCCTAGTGTTTATACTGTCAGAGTGCAGGCAGATTCAGTTTTAGACCGTGAGAGTCCACATGTGCCCAGTGAGCAATGTCATTTGTTCAAAAACACCCTGCAATTAAAGCGTATCCTTTTCATTCAAAATTTCCGTGTGTTCATATAGTTGTGGTTTATGTACACTCAATCTGGCAATAATGAGTGTATGTAAATTTCTGACCACAGTATTAGAGAGATTCCTGGAGGGCATCGAAAGCAAAACAATCGTGGGTTTACTTATGCTTTGCAAAAAATCTTAGAAAATACAGTCAATATAAAATTGCTGTTTAATCTGTTCACAGATTAAAATAACTAGAGCTTTATTATGGTTGACCATAAAAAAGCTGGCCTCCTGAGGGATCATGCTGGGAATGGGCAGATGGTCTGTCTCATAAATCTGGAAGACACTTTTTCTAATCGTTCCTGTTCATTTTTGTAATTTACTCCATAAAAGTCACAACAAAAAGAATTTCTTTCCTGAGATCCTCTTCTTTCACTGCAGCCGCCTTCAGTAAACTCTGTATTCCCATTCATGAACCTTTCTCTTGATTGTCGAGTTTGAGAATGATACACGTTTCTCCTCAAGATGTGAGGGAAAATATTCTGCAATCATCCACTTTTTAAAAAATCTTCTGTCTTCTCTAAGACAAGTTAGACATTAAACTGCTTATTTGTCACGTAATACCAGGAACAGACCTCACTTGGCCATAAAACTGCTCTCACTCAATTATTCAGTTGCTTTAAGCCTCTGAAAATGGAGGACTGTGAATAAAAATGCCTACAATTCTTAATTAATATTATACATCTATTGATCCCTTTCACTGTTTCAGTTAAAATCCAATGGTGAAATTGCACAAATATATGGTAAAAAAAAAAAAAAAGTCAAAATGTAGCATGTACTGTTCCAGGAGCAAAAAACTTGTGACCCCATATCAGGCTATGTTGTGCTCAGTAGGTAGTTGGAAGGTCGGGGTTCGAATCCACTGAACGGCTACCCAGAAGCACCTGAGCCAGGTACCGTCCCTACACACTGCTCCCTGGGCACCTGATTAATGGCTGCACACTGCTTCACTGAGTGAATGGGTTAAATGCAGAGAGATTAATTTCCCCACGGGGAGCAATAAAGTATACATTATTATTGCAACATGAACTTCTGTATGGATGTTGTTGTTCCAGTAAGGACTGTATGTTGCTATGCTAACAACAAGCCCTGGATCACAGGTAACGTGAAAGTTGGTGATCAGCAGGAGCTCAAGCGCATGCAGAAGGTACTCAGAGTCTAGCAGAGGGAGGCAGAGAAGCCTTGCAGGAGTCAGCACAGACTCCTTCAACATCTGCAAAACGCTGCTGCAGATTTTCTATCGGCACGAAGAAGAGGGGCATTTCACACCTGTACAAAATTGTGAGGAAGGCAGGCTTCATTGTAGGAGCTGGATATCCTGACATCAGTGCACGTCTGTCTGTGTTGTGACAAACTTTTCAAATGTTTTCTCACTTCATACCCGGGACAAACGGCTGACCTGTGCGGTTTTAATGCTTCATTAACTATTCACTAACTTTCTTAATGTTTAATTACCCACGATGAAACCTCTTTCACTAAGTTAAAAACACCCATGCATGTTCTTACAGTACACAAGTTCGTGTACACTCGTCCTGAGATTCCTGAGTTAAAAAATATAATTAAAAGTCCCAAAATTAATGTGACACTACATACACTCATCATCGACATGAAACTTCTGACCACAACTGCAGATGCTTGTTTGTTTTTTTTAATTGAAACATTCTTGGAGAGGATATCAAGCAAATCAAGAGCACATGGGTTTATTTATGCTTTGCAAAGCGTCTTGTAAAATACAGTCGTTATAAAAATGCTGGCAGTGAAGAGTAACATAACAGAGCCTGTTATTATGCTTGATCGTGGACACTGAAGAGCATTGTTAGTCACTGCTCTGCTCTTTGTTAAAAGCATCTTGAGCCCAGGTGACACTGTGGCCCACGCAGAAGCGTCTTCCTTTGGCTGTATGGATCCTGCAGGGATATTACAAAAGAGTTAGTACTGAAAATATTACGCTGTGTCTCAGTAAAATGTTCGTGCAATTTGTTTTGTGTTCAGAAACTGTTATTATTAATCTAATTACTCATTGTGGTGACATACACAAATGCTTTTTCCAGACAGCTGCTGTGAGTCTTGGTGACAGAGACTATGTTCTTCACTGGTATGCGTTCTGTAAAGAAATGGAAACAGCATTCTCCAGGAGCTGTCTCATCCAATGCTTCAGCTGGAAGAAAGAAAAAGAGCCACATCAGTTCAATGACCTCAGCATCCTTCATGTTAAAATTACGTGAATCTTAGCAAGTTGGATTAACCTGCTAAGAAGCCTCTGGACAAAAAATAGCCAGAGGCCTTCTGACCCTATGAGTGATTAAACACAGCCTTAGTTATGAGTGTACAACTCATGATAACAAGCTAACCCTGCAAAATCCATCTTAGTTGACACCATGCAAAACCTCATCCTTGAGATAGACCACATGTTACAGAGTTAAAGTGACATCTGAAAACCTAATATCATGTCTGTGGTACAAATGCATCTTTGTTACACATGCATATTTTATAACCAAAGCCAAAAAACAACCTTTTTAAATGTAATTACACAAAATAACAACACACCAAAAACCATAACTAATCTGAGGTTAATTTAGTCAAATGCAAACCTTGTAAATCATGCAATTTATGATGATTACTATTAAATTAGATGAAAATTGAAATAAAAACATCAAAGTGCCTCAGGTGTAATTTATCCTTAGCCACATGCAGACTGACAGACTTACGTGCAGCAGCGCAGCAATAAACCGTGAGCAGCAGAAGCAGCAGTCCCACTGTGGCCTTCATGGTGACTTCACTCTGGATGTGATGATGTTCTTTGGCTGTCGTTCTAAAAAGTGATCTGAAAGTTTAATGCTTTGCCACACTCATAAATAGGGCAGTCTTAACAGA